TTTTAGTGCAGTCTTTGTAGGAGGTGCCCGACAGGCTGCGAGTGGTATGCACCGCATTGCTAACGAAACTAAAACTACAAAAGAAAAAAAAAGGATGAACAGCTTTGCTGCCTCGTGCCGGCGAGGAAGCGGCACCCCAACAAGAAACTCAAGCAAAAACATGCAGGTGACAATGCCAATATCCACCAAACATTACGAAGGAAGTGGACCTGTTACGACTTCTCCCCTCATCAAACTCCCTTTATGGTCACCACCGAGTAGTTGAAATGTTTTGTATTGTGTGCCGTTTTTGGATGGACGGCGTCTCTAAAAGCCCGTGAAAGACACTCCACTTCTTGTGTCAGGAGTGTCACCCCACGGACCCATGTTTTTAATTTTTATTTGTTCTCTCTTTTTTTTTGTTCTTGTTTACTCGGTTTTCTTTTTTCTCGAAGAAACACGACGCTAAGTGAAAAAAAAAAACAGGGTAAGGAAATAAGTAAGTATTTAACGCGGGAATATGTTTGCGCGTCGTCTACGCAGCGCGGGTAGCCTTGCGACTGCGTCGCTGGCTCGCTGGCAGTCGTCGAAGGTGACCGGTGACGTGATTGGCATTGACCTTGGCACCACATACAGTTGTGTCGCGGTGATGGAGGGCGACAAGCCGCGTGTGCTGGAAAACACCGAGGGCTTCCGCACCACCCCGTCTGTTGTGGCCTTCAAGGGTCAGGAGAAGCTTGTTGGTCTTGCGGCGAAGCGCCAGGCTATCACCAACCCACAGTCCACTTTTTTTGCGGTGAAGCGACTGATTGGGCGCCGCTTCGAGGACTCACACATCCAACATGACATCAAGAACGTGCCGTACAAGATTGTGCGCAGCAGCAACGGCGACGCGTGGGTGCAGGACGCCAACGGTAAGCAGTACTCGCCATCGCAGGTGGGCGCGTTTGTGCTGGAGAAGATGAAGGAGACGGCGGAGAACTTCCTTGGTCGCAAGGTGTCAAACGCGGTGGTGACGTGCCCAGCGTACTTCAATGATGCGCAGCGCCAGGCGACGAAGGACGCGGGGACGATTGCGGGGATGAACGTGATCCGTGTGGTGAACGAGCCGACGGCGGCGGCGCTTGCGTACGGCCTGGACAAGACGAAGGACAGCATGATCGCCGTGTACGACCTGGGCGGTGGCACCTTTGATATCTCCGTGCTTGAGATTGCTGGCGGTGTGTTCGAGGTGAAGGCGACGAACGGTGACACGCACCTTGGCGGCGAAGATTTTGACCTGTGCCTTTCTGACTACATTCTGACGGAGTTCAAGAAGTCGACTGGGATTGACCTGAGCAACGAGCGCATGGCACTGCAGCGCATCCGCGAGGCTGCGGAGAAGGCGAAGTGCGAGCTGTCGACCACGATGGAGACGGAGGTGAACCTCCCCTTCATCACGGCGAACCAGGACGGCGCCCAGCACGTGCAGATGACGGTGAGCCGCAGCAAGTTCGAGTCTCTTGCGGAGAAGCTTGTGCAGCGGTCCCTGGGCCCGTGCAAGCAGTGCATCAAGGACGCGGCGGTGGATCTGAAAGAGATCTCCGAGGTGGTGCTTGTCGGCGGCATGACGCGCATGCCGAAGGTGATCGATGCGGTGAAGCAGTTCTTTGGTCGTGAGCCGTTCCGTGGCGTGAACCCTGACGAGGCCGTTGCGCTTGGCGCGGCGACGCTTGGCGGTGTGCTTCGCGGCGACGTGAAGGGTCTCGTGCTTCTGGACGTGACGCCGCTGTCGCTCGGTATTGAGACGCTGGGCGGCGTCTTCACACGCATGATCCCGAAGAACACGACGATTCCGACCAAGAAGGGCCAGACCTTCTCGACCGCCGCAGACAACCAGACGCAGGTGGGCATCAAGGTGTTTCAGGGCGAGCGCGAGATGGCGGCGGACAACCAGCTGATGGGCCAGTTCGATCTTGTGGGTATCCCACCGGCGCCGCGTGGGGTGCCGCAGATTGAGGTGACGTTTGACATTGACGCTAACGGCATCTGCCACGTAACGGCGAAGGACAAGGCAACCGGCAAGTCGCAGAACATCACCATTACGGCGCACGGTGGCCTGAGCAAGGAGCAGATTGAGCGCATGATTCGCGACTCTGAGGCGCACGCAGAGTCAGACCGCCTGAAGCGCGAGTTGGTGGAGGTGCGCAACAACGCCGAGACGCAGGCAAACACGGCAGAGCGCCAGCTGACAGAGTGGAAGTACGTGAGCGATGCGGAGAAGGAGAACGTGCGCACGCTGCTTGCGGAGCTCCGCAAGGCCATGGAGAATCCCAACGTGACGAAGGACGAGCTCTCGGCGGAAACCGACAAGCTGCAGAAGGCGGTTATGGAGTGCGGCCGCACTGAATATCAGCAGGCTGCGGCGGCCAACAGCAGCAGCTCCAGCAGCGGCTCCAGCAGCAACACAGACAGCAATCAGGGCGACCAGCAGCAACAGCAAGAACAAGGCGATCAGCAGAAGAAGTAAGGATTTGGGATAAATGTGCAGGTATTTTTCTCACAGAATATACGTGACCCAAGGTAATACTAACGCATTTTATTTTCTCTTCTCTATTTTAAGGCCTCAGCTTAGATGGAGGTGCTATGGAAATGGGTACGAGAGGAAGTTGAGAAAAATTTTACGTTTCTTTGTTTTCTTTTCAATGCAACTGTTTTTTTTTCCGACGTTTTCTATGGTTCCCGGTGTTATATGGCGTGAAGAACGAACGTTGCGGCGGTTATTATATTTGAAGAACTAACAGAGTGAAAACGAATGATTACTTTCATACTATTACTGATTTTATTACTTAAGATATTTTTGGTTTATATTACGGTTTGGTTGTATTT